CCCCAAAAAAAACACATTGGGATTTTCATTGGAATGGAAAATTCAGCTGAAGAGCAGCGAGCTCTGAGGGCACATGGATTTTAGCCTAAAATGCTCCTTTGCGCACACCGATATTCAGCCCCTGCACCCAGCTCAGCAGACAAAGGGCAGATGGCTAGTGAATCAGGCTAATGGGAATGTGCCTTGTTTTATATATATGAATGACATGCCACATGTCGTAGGAAGAAGTTTTCAGGTATACACTTGCTCAGCAGATATCACCCTGGCTCCACTGTCATCTTTAGAGTAATAAACTACTGACTCATTTTCTTCCCAAGATGAGATGGTTGGGGATGTCTTCTTAGGTCTGAATGGGCCCACAGACATGTCTGTAGGACTTCAATGATGACCCCTCTTGGAGGAAGTATTGCTTGGCTAGTAAGGATTTCCAGGGTGGTAGCACTAGCCTTTTCCTAAGAAAGTCAGTGCTTGCAGCACTCAACCCTTCACTCTACATAGGCACACATATGCATGGAGCAGGATTTACTTGTAGGCCCAAATCAACTGGTGGGACTCAATCCAGCACCAGAGGTGTCATTAAGCCTGGGCACCTGTGCCAGGTCAACAATATTCAACATGCAGATCACCCGTGGTGGATTGATCTTCCACTGTTAGCTCCCATGTGATAGCATGCTACTGGTGACAAGTTCTCTTTAGGGAAAGCTGTCTCACCGGCTCCTAAAAGTAAACAGTGACCGGAAGCTGCTGAAGCCATCTTGGTCATTGTCCTGGGGGCACCGAGTAAGCAGACTCTCCACACAGTACTGTTTGCATACATGTGGCAGCCTGGCATTAAAGACCACCCTCCATGCGGCCACATATTTTGCGTATGGCCGGTGGCGAGTGGTAAACTATGGTTATGTTAGCAGTATCATGCCTGATGAAAAGAAAAAGTGTTATAACCTCCCTGGCGGTCTGATTATCTCAGTATGTTTTCTTTTTCTATTTTTTACTTTTGAATTTCCCGCTGGTTTCCGCCCCCCCTGCGATGCCGATGCCGGCATCGGCCGGAGGACACTGGGACAAGGTAAGTGACGCTACAGTGTAATCCCGGGTGTGGCTCGGGGTTACTGCTTTTGGTACTGAAAATTAACCCCGAGCCACAATCGGGATTACCGCCAGGGAGGTTAAAGAAGAACTCCAGGAATGTTAAAACCTGCACTGCAAGGGAATGTCTCTCGTAGTCAAATGGACCTGCAATAGACGTGATGACATCAGCTGTCCTAAGACTGCCAGAGCCCAGAGGGAGAAGAAGCTGCGGGCCCAGTGGGACTGAGACTAAGGGTAATACAGCCCCCTAGACAACATGAGCACTTGTACTGCAGGGGGTAGCCCCACTGCAAGGATACGTTTTTAATATCCCTGGAGTTCTTCTTTAAAAGCTAGAATTTTCAGTTTGTTGGGCCTGTCAGTAAATGTTTTCAGAACAGTAGTTTTCTGAGCCCTAGTCCACCTGCACGCCATATCTTCATTACACCACTAGGTGGCAATATAGATTTATACTAGGAACAGTGATTTATGCTGAGCTACATAGACAAAGACAACCAGCCAAGTTTCTTTCCTGTGAATGGGCCGACATCCAGCATGCATTACACGTTCCATGTGTTGCCAAATGATAAAAAGAAACACAAAATATATCTACTGAAATGTTCTTAAGTGCATAAGCAGCTGGAGACAATAAATACTTTCTGCCAGGCAAATAAAAAATGTAAGGTTACTTTGTTTGGAATAGATAGGATTCCTATGTTGTGTGGATACTGGCGAGTTAAATTACTGTTCTTCTGGGGGCTCCGGCAGCCATATCTCTGTGCCCAACCTGTTCTGAGAGAAATGCAGGGGCTGCCACTGCTGAAGCTGGATGACTGGCATACAGAGTCTCTGGCTTCAATACTGTTGGCCACTAACCTAGAACAAATATACACCCCAGTGTTCATTTCCTTGATGAAAATATTTTCGTCATGTTTTCAGTAACTAAAACTAATAAAAACCCAGTTAATAGGACTAAAACTGTGACGAAAATACATTCGTCAAAGAACAAAAACACAATGAAAATGGGAGGGACTATTGCATTTACCTATTTGGACTTCTGGTTCCCTCGGAGTTCCGCCAAAGCCTCAGTCCCCTGACTATCGGCAGCT